CCTGTTAGCAGGAATAAATGCCCTCTATGTTAATCCTGGTGCATGTCCATTTTAAAGCAGTTTTAAGGCTAGTCACACACTGAAATGAACGAATAGTTTAACATGTTTCAAATATTACCGATTGTCATGGGCTTTCAACGGCCAAATGGTTAACCGAACGAAAAACCAAGAAAATCATAAACAATAAACAAAATCCCGATTCTGCTCATTTAACGAAGGTTATATGATACATGATATAGTACGGCACTAGGAATTAATCGCCGTACAATAAGCAATATCCTACATATGATTTGTTGTCGACGACAACCATGGATTTCATGACCGGCAGTAGATCGTCCATCAGGTCATACGTTCCTTGCACTAGCATACTAGCTTTTGCTTTTTCCCACGGTGTTGTCCCATTGAGGGCTAAATGTGACTATATACTTTTTTATCAGAGAAAAAGTCAATGCTTACAGATCGTATCAGCCAGGAAGCGCGCGATAACCGGTGATTTGCACAGCATATCGCCATCTCGTTCCAATACCGGCAGCTGGCCCATAGGCATAGCTTCAAAACGTTATAAAAAGTTCGAAAAAATGAACATATATATACTTGGCTTAAGTTTCGTCCACTCCTCTGAAGAAACGCGCACATCCTCATATTCAATATTTCCGTAGGCAAGCAATATGCGGCACAGCTCTGCGCGTCCACGTCCATCAAAGTAATAAAGTTTGTACGTTGGCATTATGAAGAATGATAACTGAGAGCAGCTGATAGGCCTGAACGGTGGTCTAGAACCTCAATCAATAGTTCAATCGGAAAAACTTTTTTTGGAAAAACGCTAACGGCCTTTCACCACGGCTCATTACAAGCATTCAAATGAAACACTTTCGGCGGCAAAACCCTTTCAGTCGCCATATGATCTCCAGACAGGGCGCAAAGATAGTGAATTTAATATTTACTAAGCAGATTTAGCAAATTAAATGTGAATATGAAATATATAGCTGAATCATAGAGATTCGTTTACAACCATAATGTTAAGGGAATAATAAGAAGTCCATAGTGTAGCTTTCGCCGGCAACATTTAAAAATCACAGTGGGTCACAAAATGAATTTTGAAGGTTGATAAATTTCTAGGTGTAGCTAAACCTGACGCATCGTATCATAAAGGGGGATTGCAGGCATTATCGATTTAGAAAGTTGGAGGATTTCAAGATACATTGAGATAAAAAATTCGCCAGCCATAATTTCAACTTCATGCATTCAAATGCATCAATTTATCTTTTATGGAACACAAAAGCCAGAATAGAATGGCAAAATTATTAAAATAAACACAAATTAATAAATTGTTGTTTGGGACGATTTTACTGGTTCAGAATTTCACTGATGATTTCGACGACGTCTATAGCGTAATCAAGTTCTCAGTCGTTGTGAACAATAAAATGAGTAGTAGCAAGAAGAAAGAGCAGAACGAACAAAGGCTATCTAAAATGCATATTGCAACAGAAATTATTCCTGATACATATGTGCATGAACAGCACAATTCAGCAGCCAATGTTGATGGAACCATAACCTGCTATAATGCTAAAATTGAGAATTGAAAATGACATCGTATATCAAAACAATTCAACGGAAACCTCGGTTTAAAGCATGAAAAAATGTGTATGCTTACCAAACTGTCAAGATCGCTTTAACACAGATCGGCACCACGCAAAACTTAGGAGTTACCCTGTTGTATCGTCACGATCGCGGTTAAAACTTGACGATCAGACCATAGCGTCTAGAAATAAAATGCCGGGAACTTTCTAGGGTCTTAAGGAACATGTCCACCTCATTATAAGAGCAAACGCCCTAAGGGCTTACGTAGTTAAATTCCATTAGCGACACACTGAAGAGCCAATCATTTGTCCAACATATAAATGACTTTGTATCGCTGCTACAGTATAATGTTTAATGATAATTTGTATACGGTGATCTTTTTAATTTAG